AGCTACAACTCCAGCCTCTCTAAAATTTATTTTGAGATAGGGTCTTCCTAAGGGAGCAGGCTGGGCTTGAATTTGAGATCCTCCTCCCTCAGTTTCTGTGACTCAGGCTCTGATTCTATGCCCTCTTGAAGTAAAATTGTAGTTTGTTTTTTTTTTTTTTTTTTTGGTACCAGGGATCTAACTCAGGACCTTATGCTTGCCAGGCAGGCGCTTGTGCCGCTGAGCTTTACACCCAGCTCTCTGTCTCAAAGTTAAAAGAAATAAAAATTTACAAGGGGCTAGGCAAATAGCCTATTGCAAAAGCCCTGGGCTCAATCCCTAGTACAAAAAACAAAAGATCCCTAGAGATTCGTGGGCCATGGGTGCTTGACTGGTCCCTGAGCCACCGCCTACCTGCACACTCTGGAATCTTCTCTCTGAACCCTAGTTCTCACCCCTCACCCTTCTGTGCTTACCTAGTTAACTCCCTGTCTGGGCCCTCTGTGTCTCCCCAACACCTTTTACATTTTTTTCCACCCCAAACTCAAACTCCACCATACCTCCGGGCCAAAGGCTCTCCAGGTTTCCCTTGCCTGAGGGACATCTGTCTCCCGACCAGGGATGAATGGAGGCTGATAGCAGAAGAAATTCCTGAGCTGCCCAGATCTAGGGGCCCACCGGATAAGCAGTCCCTAAAAAGGCTTATGGGAGTTGGGTCTGGATATTGGGGGTAGGTGGCACTAGGGCCTTGCTGTCCCTGGGGATGACAGTGTCCTGGCAAGGGAATCAGCCACCATCAGAGATGTAAGGGGATGAGGTCCCTCAGTGTGACAACTGAGGACCAAGGACTCCTCCTCCTCCTGCCCCCCCTCACCCCTTCCACTCTCTGGTGTCTGTCTCTCTCTCTGCACCCAGAAGCACCCAGCTTGGTGGCCATCCTGCTGACCCTGCTCATGCCTGTCACAGTCCTGGTGCATGTGCTGCGCAGAGAGTGCATGTGCAGGGCCAGGAAGAGGAGGAGAAGAGGGAAGAGGAGGTGAGCTCCTGGGGACGTGGCGGTGGCGGGGGTGTGGGTGGGGTCTGGTGTGCCTGCAGACCTCATGCTTCCCTCGGTTCCCCACCCCATCCTAGGGAGAAAATGAAGGGCCAGACGGAGCCTGGAGCCCAGCTGCTGTCCCCAGGTGAGCCAGCCTTGAGGTCAGGGCCCGGGCGGCCAGAGGGGCCTTGTGTGCCTGACACACCTGTCCTTGCTTTCTCCTCAGACACTGTTCCTGAGCCTGCCGCAAAGTCACTGTTTTGAGTTGTCCTCAAACAAGGTCATAAAGAATAAAGCTGTTTATTTATTTATTTTCCTGTAGTGGGAATTGAACTTAAGGCCTTCGCACTGAGCCACACACACCCAGTCCTTTTTTATTTCGAGACAGTCTTTAACTAAATTGCTACATTGCCCAAATTGGGCTCAAATTTTCAATCCTCCTGCCTCAGCCTCTCAAAGTGCCGGGTTACAGGTGTGCCACCACTCCCAGCTAGAAATCCTGGCTCTCAGACAATGTAGCTCGCCTCTGAGCTCCCTGCCAAGGGGACTGAAGTCATTGAGAAGCTCTAAATTCCTAATGATGAGAAGCCAAGGGGCTGGAAAGGGGACTGGGACTTTTCCCACTGGGTGGTCTTGGGGGCAATCCCCACCCTCTCTGGCTCCCCCTGGTTACTATGGGAACTGAGGGGTGGGGTTGGCTCAGGCTTGGGAGTAGGAGCACTGCACCCCACCCAACCCTCCCCAGGGGCTCATTCTCCAAGGCCGATCGGATCCTCACTTGAGGGGCGGGGTTGAACCATCCGAAGGCTGGGCTCCAGAGGCAAGGAAGCTGGCCAGCTGGGCAGGGAGAGCGTGGACACAGGGACTCTGTCTGGGGATGTCCAGGCAGGCAGGACACCAGTATTATTGTATTACTCTGTACTTATCCTCCAAGACCGCCAGCCCTGCGGCAGACTTCCCGGAAAGGGCTCTAGAAAATAGGTGTGGCCGTGCCCGGTGGAGCTTTCTTTCCCTCCCTCAGTGCCCCCCCCCCCTCCCAGGAAGCACGGGAGCACCTGGTCCCCACCTGGTTTTCTTCTTTACCTCTGGGCTGTGTCTCCATCTAGAGCCTGTGACCTTTACCTCTCCCGAATCAGCTCTTCAAGGTCACAGTACTAGCCCAGATGTGGCAGAGGAAGAGGCTTGGCTGCGTGGCCTCCGCTGGATGGACCCCCTCCTTCGGCAGGACTGGGTCCCTCCCACCCCCTTTAGGAGGTAGAAAAGGAGTGCTGTGTCCCCTAGGGAAGAATGGGACTGAGGACTCGTGTCACGGGCTCCAGAAGAGGGCTGTAGGGGCTGGGGATTTAGCTCAGGGGCACAGCGCCTGCCTGGCAAGCGCCAGGTCGTGAGTTCGATTCCTGATACCGGAAGGAAAAAAAAAAAAACCCAGAATTGGGCTGTAGAGGCAGGAAAGCATGCAGTCTCCCTAGGCTGGGAGGTCCTGCACTAGCCCCAAGATGACAACAGGGGGAGACCGAGAGGCAGAGGTGAGAAAGCTGTTCCCACAAAGCCAGACTGGCCCCTTTCAGGCCTGCCCCTGCAGGTGTACCGGTGGGAGGGCAGGGAAGAAATGGGGGGGGGGGTGCGGTGTCGACCCCAGCCTCCTCTTCCTGTCTGGGAGGAAGAAGTCGGGGCAGACAGGAGGGTGGCCCCCTCCCTTCCCGGGCCGGGAGAACCTGCGGAGCGGCAGATTGAATGGGGGAATTGTCCTCGGCGGCAGCTGCACACGTGGGGTCTCCCCGCAGCCACTCCCAGCGCTCCCCTCCCCCACAGCCCATGCCGACTCCCCCACTGCCACTAAACCAATCCCAGCTGCCAACATCTGGCCCACATGTGTCTCCCCCAACTGACTAGACACTCCCCCGGCCCATGTCCCTTCCTCTTACAGGGGGCTGCAGCAGGGCTATGAACTCAACCCCCCCACTTCCTCTATACAGCCTCCTGGTAGTCCTAAAAGCAAGCAGGACAGGCTGGAAGGGGGCCGCCCCACCCCGGAGGTGCCCCAGGCTCTTGGCACAGCCAGCTGGAGCAGTTAGAAGCAGCTGCCAGTGACTCATCTCCCACGGCCCCCACCCCACCACCCCACCCTGAGGCTGGGAACCAAGCACCCAGGCCCCCACCCCCACTGCCTGATCATCTGGACCCCGACCCCACCGTCTTTGTAAGGCTAGCTCCCAATCACCCCCCAGAACTGCGGTATGACCCATTTTTCTTTTATTTATACAAAAAAAAGTTTCTTTTTAATTTTTAAATATAATTTAAGAACCCCTCCAAGCACCGGGTGTCTTGTCTCTGGTTCCCACCACTGACCCCCCTGCCCCTTGACCCCTCCCCCACACTCCCTCACGGACACAGTTTGGGGGTGCTTGGGGAGCAGTGAATCTGGGGTTGTGGCATGGCCAAGGCACTGTTCTGGAAACGGACCTCCATGGGTCCGCTGCAACACGGGCAGAGGAGGAGCTGAGGAAACAGGTGCCCTCCAACACAAAAACTAGGACAAGGACGCTAGAAAAACAAACGAAACAAAAAAATAAAAGGGGAAGGAGGAAAAATAAGACCAAAAACAAACGAAATCTCATGAACCTTCAATATGAAGGCAGCAGATGGGGAAGGGGCATTTATAAGGGAAAGATGATTGTGTCGGGGGGTGGCAGCAGCAAGTTGGGACATCCAAGCCCAATGACTGCGTCACTGGGCCGTGACACCCCTTCCCACCTCCTGGGACAGCGCTCCTCCACTCCCAAGCTGGCAGGCTGGTCACCCTCTCTTTGGTCTGCAGGGACTTGTCCCTCAAGGTGAGGGGGAGCACCTGGGAAGCCGGGAGATTAAGGGCGTTTCCTCTTCCTCTGGCTACACTTAGTCCTGAGGGAAAGGCACCCTCACCCTGGCTCGGGGGTTTCCCACCTGGAGGGGCCAGAAAGCGATTTCTACCCTCTTAAGTGGCACAGTCCCCCAAAATCCTCTTTCCAAATTGCCAACTCCCCACCCCCACGGGTTCAAAGTGCTATCCAGCCCAGGGCTGGGGATCTCTGTGAGTCCCCACCAGACTCTGCCCCTGGAAGAAGGGGAGGCCGTGTTCCTGGGGTGAAGAGGTCCTGCAGGTCAGTACTGCGGGGCTGGTCCTCCTGTCCCGCCTGGAGTTCCAGGCTTGGCTTGGGACTTCATATGCTGGACACTGGCCAAGATCTTCTTCTGGTGTCCCGCTAGAGTGACTCCAATTCGGAGCAGGTCCCTGTGAGGGGAGACAGGATTCCGTGTGCTACAGGGCTCCTAGTCCTGAACACCTCACTTATCCCCAGACCCCTTCCAGGGATCCGGGATTGTCAGCCAATAAGAACGCCAGTGTGGGGTGGGGAAAGAAGGGCAGAATGATGTCATTAGTTGCGGGGCAGTTTCTGGAGGATTTAAGTCGCCAGGCACCCTTCTGTGCAGCCACAGTAGGCAGTGGGGCTGTGTCTACCAAGCAAGGGCTTAGGGTGCAGGGCTGGGAGGGGAGGAAGGAAAACGAAGCCGGCATGGGGTAAGGGGCTGCACAGATTGTTTTACTGGTTAAAGGTGAAGTGAGAAGAAATAGCCAGCGAGAGAGGAAGAACTGGGTGGAGAGGAAGGGGAGATGCGGCCTCCCGGGAGACAAACGTGAAGAGTCTCAGAGAGCAGCCAGCCAGGGAGAAGAGTTACTTGGGAGTCAACAGAATCATAAAACCATTTAACATTCAAGCCGGGAAGGATCTCCAAAACCTAGTCCAGTGTTCTCCTTTTATGGGTGGGAAAAGAGCAGCAGGGTTGACACGTTCCTGAGAGCTAGGTCTGGAATGCACACAGATGCACAAAGATGGGGGGTGCTGTGGCAAGAAGGGTGGTGACCCAGGGCTGGGGAGGTTCCAGGAGTCACAGGGTGGGCACGTGTGGCCAGGAGGAAGACGTGCTCCTTAGCCACCCCCACTTCTGCTTGGGGGCTGCTCTGGGCACGGCACGGGCAACGCCCTTACTGCTGCTGCTGGGAGATTACATGGAGGTGGACCCCAGAGGCACCCGAGAGCCTGAGTCAGGCCCCCCTGCTCACTGTCCCCAAGTGCCCTCTCCTGCTGCCCCCTGCACTTACTCTGCGGAGATCTGGCTGACCAGCTCGAAGGAGCCGAACCCAGCCGCTGCAAAACTTTCTTCGTATCTTCCCATCTTGATGGCTCGAAGCCACTCGCCCACAGAGCCAAAGGCGGAGTAGTGAGGCTGCCGCTGGTCCAGGAGTGGGTGTGAGGCCCTGTGAGGCGGGGAGGAGTGGAATGCTGAGTACCAGGTCTGAGTAAGGGGACGTGGAGCCCAGCCTCGGAGGGGCCCCCAGGGACCACGCCACATACCACCAAAGGGCCAGGAGGGGATCTCGGGCCTTGACAGACCGAGGGAAGGAGGGCTTGTTCTCTGGGGTCCTCACCCGCCGTTCTCCCTGGCCACGATTTTGAGGCTGGCAGGGTTCCGGATCATCTTGTCGAGGGCACTGACCACCTGGGGAAAGCGGGGTCGGGCGTTCCGGTCCTTCTGCCAGCAGTCCAGCATGAGCTGGTGGAGGGAGGTGGGGCAGTCTGGGGGCGGGGGCAGTCGGTAGTCTTGTTCAATGGCGTTGATCACCTGAGAGGACAGGAAGCAGCACGGGGTGAGGCTGTCCCAGAGGGACTCAGCAAAATGGTGACTTGGCCGATACTAGGGCAGACACCCTAGCAGATCTCGGGCTATAATCTGGACATGCAACTTCCCAACCTGCCCTCTGCTCCTGGAAAGATCACCTTTTCTGTGTTACCTCCCACCATCCCAAGGACCCCCCAAGAGTGCACCTGGACACCCCACCCCCACTGCATTTCCTAGGAGAGAACACACAGGAAAGCCTAATATAACCGCGGGACACTTACATCCTGATTGCTCATGTCCCAGTATGGCCGTTCCCCGAAAGACATCACCTCCCACATCACGATCCCGTAGCTCCAGGCATCGCTGGCTGAGGTGAACTTCCGGAAGGCAATGGCCTCGGGGGCTGTCCATCGGATGGGAATCTTTCCACCCTGGGAAGGATGAAAAGGTAAACCCAGGCCCTCAGCCCCAACCACCCCCACCATCCTGCCTTGTCCCCCTAGGTCTGGCCTTCTTTCTTTCTGGGACCTAAGTTCCCATCTTCCCAGCTCTCTTCCTTTCCTAGACATCCGGAGGTCTGTTTGCCTTTAGCATGTGCCTGTATCCTTCCCCTGGGCCAGGACTGCCAATCCCCATGCTCCCACCTTCCCAACCTGCCCTCCCCACATGGCCCTGAGACCCCGGCTCATCCCCTGCGCCCCTGCTCACCAGAGAGCTGGTGTAGGTGGGATCAGAAGAGTTCTCCTCCAGGAAACGGGACAGGCCGAAGTCTGAGACCTTGCAGACCAGGTTGCTGTTGACCAAGATGTTTCGGGCAGCCAGGTCTCGGTGCACGTAGCTCATCTCAGCCAGGTACCGCATGCCTGAGGCAATGCCCCGCAACATGCCCACCAGCTGGATGACGGTGAACTGTCCGTCATTAAGCTGGGAGGGGACAAGCAGAGGACATTGGTTAGGGTTACCCACCACTCCCCGTCCTTCCACTCCTTGATCTGTGCCTGGCACTTACAGACCTACCACCTCACCTGCAGCGGACCTGCCAACTTGCCCAGGTGAACCTCCTCTTCCCCGTCACCCCAAGTTCTCGCAGCTCTTTTTTTTTTTGGTTTTTCTCCGGTACCAGGAACCGAACTCACGACCTTGCGCATGCCAGGCAGGCACTTTTGCCGCTGAGCTAAATCCCCAGCCCCTCTCGCAGCTCTTATGATAACCTTACAACAGGCTTACTGACAATGAAGAGTGACCTTAAGTATGTTTCTTCCATTTAACCCCGTACAGCGCTTTACATGCAGAAAATTCTCAAGCAATACTTTGTTTTGAGACAGGGTCTCACTTTGCAGTCAGGCTGCCAAGCACAATCTCATTCAGCCCTCTTGAACGAAGTGTGTGTGGTTTTGCCAGAGAACGGGGAGAAATGGGTACTCAGCGCTCAGCCGAGGCGGAGAGCCCAACCTTCACTCTACAGTTTGCTCCCACCCGGTGCACCAGCCAGGCACAGGGTTAACGGACCCCATCCCCTGGGCTCAGCTGGGTGCAGGGTCCCCGCAGGGTCAGGGACGAGAGCCCAAGTGAGTCCTGAACCCAGCCTGCAGACGCACACCTGCCCTGGGCCTTCCATCTCAGTTCCCGGAAACACCACTTGGGCAGTGGTCAGGTAGGGACCTCAGTCGCCTGCGACTCCTCCCCCGCCTGCCGCTAGCAGTCCATCATGCCACTCTGCTGGCTCTGCTTCCAAAATATGTCACCAGTCTAACCACTTCTCCCCGGCCCAAAGCCCAAAGGGCAGAGCCAGGCTCCCCATGCATCCCTGCTTCCGCACCAGCTCCCCAGCACCAAGTCACAGGGATCTCTTCCGGTCACTCACTGTCCTACCAGAACCACCCCCCAGGGGCTCTCCCCCACCTCAGGGATCACCATCACGCCTCTGCTCACGAGGGGCAACCACAATGAACCACTGTTTCTTTTTTCTTTGGTACCGGGAATCGAACTCAGGACCTTGCGCTTGCCAGGCAGGCACTTATGACACTGAGCTTAATCCCTAGCCCGAACCACTGTTTCTTAAATGGTTCCTACCTGCTCTGGGCCCCAAATTTTCTTTTCCCATTTTCTCTCAACCGGCTCTTCCTTTTTATTTTTCAGTATTAGGAACTGAACCCAGGGCTTTCACAATGAGCTACATCCCTAGCCTTTTTTTATTTTGAGACAAGTTTTTGCTTAGCTGCTAATTTGTCCAGGCTGGAGTTCAATTTGGAATCCTCCTGCCTCAGCTTCCCAGAGTCCTGGGATTATAGATATTCGCCACCACACCTGGTCCCAAATGTCATCTCTTCTCTCATCTGTTTCCTCCCTTCCTTGCAGTGTGACCTTTGGATAGTCCCAGTATCAGGACAGATTCTCATGTCCATAGGGAGGGGCTGCGCTGTTCAGCCGCTGTGGCTCTGTCTCCGCTCTGTGGGAGAAGCCAGACTGGGTGTCTCATGATGGGACCTGTGTGAAACACACAGCACCCACTGCAGTGTGGACACACATTTAACTTCCAACTTATCAGAACGCCAGAGGGCTTCACTTACAGGAACTGCAAAGAAACAAGCTAAATGAGCCTGTCAGGAAGAAGCCACAAGCCCAGGACATTCAGGGGTCACAGAGATAAGGGGCCCAGCTCTTCAGCAAAGCAGTGCTCAGGATTTAGAAGCTCAGAAAAACCCAGGTGTTACACCCAGATTCCTGTTGGTGCAAACCAGCAGCAAGTGACATCTGGGGGAACAACTGGGGATGTGAGTATCAACTGGGTAGGAAAACGTTCCACGGGCCGGGGATATAGCTCGGCGGCACAAGCGCCTGCCTGGCAAGCGCAAGGTCCTGAGTTCGACTGCCAGTACAAAAAAAAAAAAATTATAGGAAAATGTTCCAGTTTTTTCTTTTTTTCTTTCTTTTTTTTGGGGGGTGGCACTTAGGATTGAACCTGAGCCTGCACACACTGGCACATACTTAGACCTCTTTTTATTTTTTATTTTGAGACCAGGTTTTGCTAAGCAGCAAATTTTCCCAGACTGGGCTCAATCTTGTGATCCTCCCACCTCAGCCTCCACGGCGCTGTGATTACAGACTTGTACCACTACGCCCGGTGCTGAGTTTTTTCTTTTAATGCCTTATGAGGTTTAAAAAAAAAAAACCTATGAGGTTTTTTTAAAACCTATGAGGTTTTTTTTTTTTTCCAGTAAAACCAGTTAAAGTGATCTCATCTCCAGCCACTGCCCCATGATCCCTTCTGATAGGTTTCACTGCTGCAGTGATTTGCTACTTGTTAATTTCACAAGGCTGTCTGCTTGGCAAGAGCAGAAATCCTGTCTGCCATGTTCCTGGCTTTATCCCCAGGTCCTGGACAGGGGCTGGTAAATAGGAGACGCTCAGTAAATATTTGTCAGAAAAAGGAATAACCTCCTACAGAAAGGACCAAGGACACTCGAGACAGGGACTCAACCTTTCCCCAACACAAAACCAAGAGCGGAGACAGGCATGAGGGCGGGGCCTGTAATCCCAGCTTTCTGGGACACTGAGGCAGGACGATCTCAAATTGAAGCCCAATCTGGGCAGCTGGGTGACCTAGTAGACCCTGTTCCAAAATAAAAAAATAAAGGGGGTGGTGGTGTTTGCAGCTCAGTGTGAAGACCCTGGGTTTAATCCCCAGTACTGTAAAATAAAAACACAAACCAAACACATGAGCAAAAGTCTGGAGCCCAGGGAGAGGGGCTGCAGCTTGCGAGGGGCCCGCTGTCCACCCACTTCTGGGACGCCCATGGACGGGGCGCGGGCTCACCCGCAGGAAGGAGTCCAGGGCGCCGTTCTCCATGAACTCCGTGAGGATCATGACCGGCATGCTGTTGGTGACCACGCCCTCCAGGCGGATGATGTTGGGGTGCTCGAACTGGCCCATGATGGAGGCCTCGCTCAGGAACTCACGCCGCTGCCGCTCTGTGTAGCCGCCCTTCAGGGTCTTGATGGCCACGCAGTTCTCCTTTTTCCCCGGGGCCTTCAGCCGCCCCCGGCAGACCTCCCCAAACTCGCCTTGGACGGGGGACAGGACAGTCAGCTCTCCCCGGCTGCATCCCTGCCCTCAGCCCCACCTGCTGCGGCTCCCCCCACTCACCTGCTCCAATCACCTCCTCGATCTTCACATAGGACACGTCAATCTCTTTGGCAAATTCCCTCACAGCCTCATTGGGGTCTTCATAAGTGAAGGGGTCAATGTAGACCTTCGTACCTGAACGGTGGTGTAGGCTCCCATTAGCCAAGAGGTAACTTCCTCCTGGAATCCTAGCACTTTGGGAGGCTGAGGCAGGAGGATGGCAAGTTTGAACCCAGCCTGGGCAACTTAGCAACTTAGTGAGACCCTGTCTCAAAATTAAAAACAAAAAGGGAGGTAGGGATGTAGCTGAGGGGGAAGGCCCTGGGGTCATCTGCTAGAGCTGCCAAAAATATTTTTTCTAAAAACCTCCGCTGGACTGTACTCCCTTTAGGGCAGGTGCGCTTACCGTGGCCGATGAGGTACTGCCCGTGTTTGTCGGAGTATTCCGCCTCCCTTCCATTGCTCTGCTTCCTATAGCCAGGGGGGAAAGAAGCAGAAGGTAAAAAGAGCCGCACGCTTCAGTATTACTGTAGAAGGGAAGGGGCTGGGGCGTCGCGTTGCGTTGCGACGCTCCTGGCCAGCGCTTGCATAGCATTTGTGAGAGAAAGAAAAAAAGCAGCCAGGGAGGGAGGGACTCGGGTTCAGCAAAGATCCCCAGTGGAAAGAGGCCAGAGGGGCAGCCAGAGACGTTCGCCCTGGAGCCCATAGCCCACAGCCAGCAGCGGGGATTCCAGGGCCTCCAGGGTCCCGGAGCCCTTACCTGAGGCAGAGAACGGCGATGACAATGACCACCAGGACCAGCACCACACCCACGACCGCAGTGCCAGCGATCAGGGCCAGCTGCTCACGCCAGTTGTCACTCTCTGCTGGAGGAGAGGCCGCCGATCAGGCAGGGCCACGGCCCCTGCAGCCGCCTCCCCAGCCTCAGGCATGGAGCCCAGGTCGCCAGAGAACAGGCCCCAGCCCAGTGTGACCAGCGGAGGCTTGAACCTGTGCCTGTGGCTCCTCTGAGATCGTTCAGAATAAGGGAGCGTGCTTCCCAGCTTTGTTGTTGCCAGGACAGCTTTAATTTTATTGTGTAAGTATTAGTATCCACAAAAAGTTTTATTGGAATGGAAGATTTCAAAGACAAAGGAAGCCAGGCATGGTGGCGCACGCCTGTAATCCCAGCCCTCAGGAGGCTGAGGAAGCAGCATCGTTGTGAGTTCAAGACCCGCCTGGGCTACAAAGTGAGCTCAAGGTCAGCCTGAACTGCATAGCGAGACCCTGTCTCAAAAAAGGACAGGAAAAAATTTTAAAAAAAAACAACACAAAGATGAAGGGCAGAGGGGGCTGGGGATTTAGCTCAGCGGCAAAAGTGCCTGCCTGGCAAGCACAAGGTCGTGAGTTCGGTTCCTGGTACCGGAGAAAAACCAAAAAAAAAAAAAAAAGATGAAGGGCAGAGGGGGCTGGGGATTTAGCTCAGCGGCAAAAGTGCCTGCCTGGCAAGCACAAGGTCGTGAGTTCGGTTCCTGGTACCGGAGAAAAACCAAAAAAAAAAAAAAAAGATGAAGGGCAGAGGGTCTCTTTCAGCGTCCTAGAAATGTTCTCAACCGAGTGATAGCAGCTGCATAACCATAAGTGCATTAAAAGCCACGGAATTACATACTTCAAATGGAATGGATGGGTCATACGGCATGAGGACTGCATTCCCAATAAATCTATTTAAAAATTACAGCCGGGCATGGTGGCACATGCCTGTAATCCCAGCACTCGGGAGGCTGAGGCAGGAGGATCATTGTGAGTTCGAAACCAGCCTGGCCTACAAAGTGAGCCCAAGGCCAGCCTGAACTACACAGCGAGACCCTGTCTCAAAGAGATAAATAAATAAATAAAAATAAAAATTACAAAATTTGCTGGGTATGGTGGCTCATACCTATGATACCAGCACTCAACAGGCTGAGGAAGAAGGATCACAAGTTAGAGGGCAGCCTAGGCTACAGAGTTCAAGGCCAGACTGGACTATATAATGAGACCTTATCTCTCTCTCTCTTTTTGGTACCAGGAATCGAACCCAGGACCTTGCGCTCGCCAGATACTTGTGCCAGTGAGCCATATCCCTGGCCCAAGATCTTATTCCCGAAACAAACAAAAACAAAAAACATTACAAAGTTTAGAAAACATCAGCCTTGCCTATTAAAAGATGCAGGTGTTACTGCATGCAATCCTCAGAACCCTGTAAAAAGACTTCACAAGTGCCCCCCTTTGTTACCTGAGAAGGGGGGGCACTGGGTCAAGGGGAAGGCTATGTCCTGTGGCTAATGAGCCCCAAGCCACCTGCCCCGGCGGCTGGGTTTGGTTCCTCCACCGTGCCTTCTTTTCACTGGGCCAGGCCCACAGGGCTGCCTTTGGGGGAGTCTGGGGGTGCCTTCCCACACGCCACTCACCGTCCAGCTGGGTCTGGCTGTGGTGCTCCTGGCCGAAGGGCCCATAGCCAGCCTCGGAGCGAGCCCGCACCTGAACCAGGTAGCTGGCTCCGCGCTTCAGCCCCTGGAGCTCCGCCCGGTTTTCTGAGGTCTTCAGGAACCGGACGCTGCTTGGGCCCTCTGCACCCTGTCCAGAAAGTAGGGGGTTAAGTCAGAGCTTGGGTTTCTGCTGCTCTTCTGCCTCCCACCACCTCCTCCACACACCCCCATTGCTGCATCCGGGTCCTGCTGTGGGCATCAGAGGCCTTCAAGGTTGGGTAGGTGACCCCTTGGTGAATATTCTGCACTTATCACATCATTCTGTCCTTGAAATAACTCTGTGACTGGTAGCTATATATTCTGATTTTAGTACTAGTACTAGTTATACGTTTTGGTTTTAGTACTTTAGTACTATGGAACTCAGGGCCTTTGCACTGAGCTACATCCTCAGCTCTTTTTTATTTTGAGACAGGGTCTCACTTGCTAAACTGCTCAGACTGGGCTCAAACTTGAGATCCTCCTGACTCAGCCTCCTAGCATGCTGAGATGACAGGTGTGCCACCATGCTCAGCTTGTTATATTTTATAGATGAGAATACTAAGGCTCAGAGGCCACAGGGATGGCTCATGTCACACATATGTGGCGGACCTAGAATTCCAATGCTCATCAGATGTCTGCAATTCAAATGTCCTGGCCCTGGACCGAGAAGACCTCTGGTCTTCTGGCACCCACAGAGCCGGCTGCTGGTCTCACCTTCTCATGGTACTTGACCTCGTAATCCAGCACAGCTCCGCTGGACGCTCGGGGAACGGCCCACGCCAGGGTCAAGCTGCTGGGCGAGGACCGCGTCACACGGATGTCGGACACTGCTGGGGGAACTGTGACACAGACTCGTGAGGCCCTGCTCACGGTGGATCAAGCCCTTATTTTTTCCAGTTCTTGCTGGTGGCTCTGCCATCTTCTGGCTGTTTCAAGAATTCCTTTTTGTTTACAGTACTAGGGATTGAACAGAGGGTCCTTCCAGGGAGCCACCAGTCCTTGTTTTTTTATTTTGAAGCAGTCTCACTAAATCACTGCTTTGCCCAGGTGGGCCTCAAATTTGAGATCCTCCTGCCTCAGCCTCCCAGAGGGCTGGGATTACAGGCCTGAACCTTCATGCCTGGCTCAGCTCCCATCTTTTTCTCTCCCGGTCTTGTCCCTCCGTGCTTCCTGGGGATCCCACACTCCAATCCCTGCACCCCCTCAGCCCGTCAGCCTTTCCCACAGGCTTCTCTCCTGTACACCACACGCTGCCCTTCCCATCTTACCCTCACGGTCAGTGGTGACGTTGACCGGTTCAAACGGGACAGGCCCTGTGGCTAAGGAGGACACGCCGTTCAGGGCAGTGACCTCGAAGGTATAGGTGAAGTCAGGACGCAGCCCTCGAATGGCCACCCAGGGCTCCACCAGGTCTCGGGGCCCAGGGTCGAAGGTCAGGTCACCCCCGCAGGGCGTGCAGGAGCCCCCCGGGCGGCACTCCCTGCAGCGCAGCGTGTAGGTGAGGTCGTCCCGGCCGCCAGACTCCAGCGGCGCGCTCCACTCCAGGTGCAGGGACGAGCCGTTCAGGTGGTGGATGACGCTGCGCGGGGCCGAGGGCGGCGCTGCAGACCGGAAGCCAGCGGTCAGCGGGGGCGGCGGGCAGGCAGCAGCGCTGACCTCCCGCCTCACGGATGGCCAAGGCCCAGGGTCCCGGGGAGGGAGGGGCGCAGTGCGGAGACCACCCGGGGCTCAATACCCCTCCCCGAGGAGCGGCCTGGTCACTTACTGGTGCAGGCTGCACTGCGCAAGTCCGTGCGGGCTCGATAGTACCCGATGCGGCACTGGCAGACCCAGGATCCAATGGTGTTGGTGTGGCTGTTGGCTGGGCAGGGCTGGCAAGACCCCTCCCCTGACTGGGGCTTGAAGGTTCCCTGGCCACAGGCTGGTGGGGTCGGGGGAAGAAAGAGAGAGCGGGTATCAAAAACGCGCACCTTGGCCAGGCAGGTTGGCGCACGCCTGTAATTCCAGCACTTGCAAAGCTGAGGCAGGAAGATTGCTGAGACAGTTCAATGCCTGCCTGGGTTACATAGTGAGTCCAAGTCCAGCCTGAATTACAAAGCAAGATTCTGTCTCAAAAAAAAAAAAGTGCACGACCAGGCATGATGGCGCATGCCTATAATCCTAGCACTTGGGAGGCTGCGGCAGGAGGATCTTTTGGAGTTTGAGACCAGCCTGGGCTATAAAGTGAGCTCAGGTCGAGCTTGAACTACATAGTGAGACCCTGTCTCAAATAGGCCCCCTCCCCTCAAAAAAGTGCATCAAGGGCCAGACATAGTGATGGACACCTGTTATCCCAGTGCTCAGGAGGCTGAGGCAAGAGGATCTTGAGTTTGAGGCCAACCTGAGCTACACAGACTTTGTCAAACATACAGTACACCAAAAACATGCAGCTGCTTCTACGGAGGCACATAGTGCTAAAAGCGGATGGAAGAAGGATTCCCAGGATCCTCACCTCTCAGAGGGGAAGGGATTCTTCTTCCAGAACGGGGCTGCCCTACTTTTTTTTATTCCTGGTACTGACTGGGATCAAACCCAGCCCTTTCACTAAGCTACATTCCCAACCCTTTTGTTGTTGTTGTTGTTTGTTTGTTTGTTTTGAGACAGCATTCTCATTAAATTGCTAAGCTGCCCAGGAGGCTAGCTTTAAAAATCCTCAAACTTGCAGTCATCCTGCTTCAGCCTCCAGGAGTGCTGGGATTACAGGATGGACCTTCATACCTAGCTTTTTCTGGCATCAACCACGGTTGTCCAGTGAATGCCTCAGACCCTTGCTCAGAGTAGATTTTAAATGCACGTCTCAAAATACATAGAATTATCAAGGAAACCAAGTAAACTAAGAGACAGTGATCAATGTATTTAAAAAAACAAGAAATTGTCTCTGCTACTTTCCTTCCAGGTATCTTCCCAAAAGAACAGAAGACATCTGGCCAGGTGTGGTTGCGCACACCTGTAATCCCAGCACTCGGGAGGCTGAGGCAGGAGGATCTTTGCGAGTTCAAGACCAGCCTGGGCTACATAGTAAGCTCAAGGCCAGCCTGAACTCCATAGCAAGATCCTGTCTCAAAAAGACCAAAAAAAAAAAAAAAAAAATCTGATTACTGTGACCCATGAATACCATGTTTATAGCAGCACAACTCACAAAAGCTAAATCTTGGAAGTGCCTAATATGTCCATCCACAGGTAAATGAATAAAGAGAATGTGGTAGGGCTGGGGATATAGCTCAGCAGCATAAGCGCCTGCCTGGTAAGCGCAAGGTTCTGAGTTTGATTTCTGGTACCAAAAAAAACCAACCAAACAAACAGAAAATATGGTATTTACACACAATGGAATATTACTCTACCATGAAGAAGGATAAACTTGAGTCATTTGAAGGAAAATGGAGCACCTGACAACATAATGTTAGTGAAATAAATCAAGACACAAATATCACACGGTTTCTCTTATATGAGAAACCCAAAATATAAACAAAAAGCAAAATAAAAGATAGCTAGGGGGTGGGGATTTAGCTCAGCGGCACAAAGCCTGCCTGGCAAGCACAAGGTCCTGGGTTCAATTACTGGAACCAAAAACAAAACAAAACAAAAAAAAGAATCACAAAAACAACCAAGTTCACAACATAGCACCAGGAGTTCCTTTGAAAACAAGACAACAACCATTGCAGGCCACATAACCACTGCGATACTAAAGTTGTGATGAGCAAAACCAGCATTCTCAGCTACCTACAGCGCTTGGAATGTACCATGAGTTTCTCTCTGCGTGGTGAGTGTCTAAGCCCCTGGTCTGCCACAAATGCTGCACAGCTGGCCACATTCCACTGGGAATGCATGGCTCATTGTAGGTAAAAACTCATGAACATAAAAAGTCATTTTTAAAGCCAGGCATGGTGGCACACACTTGTAATCCCAGCACTCTGGGAGGCTGAGGCAGGAGAATCAGAAGTTCAACCTTAGCTTGAGCTAATGAGACCCCCTGTCTCAAAAGAAAAAAAGAAAAATAGAACAGGGTGGAGGATGTAGCTCACTGCAAAGGCTCTGGGTTCAGTTCCCAATACTAAAAACACAAAAAGTCATTTCTTTTTTTTTCTCCTCCACCAAGACTCACATATGCCCTCTATGCCCACATATGGGCGCAGTGACAAGCACTTGTATTAGACTGAGGGAAGTGCAAAGTAGAAAACTAGAGCCAGGCGGGGTGTAATCCCAGCACTCGGGAGGCCGAGGCAGGAGGATCTCGTGATTTCTGTCTCAAACAAACAAGTAACAGAGCCAAGAGTAGGGAGCAGGGCCGACCCCCATGGACAGGCCCAGCTTCCCTGGGGCTCCAGCCCTCACCTCGGCACCTCGTGTTCCCCTCCACGGCCTCGTAGCCGGCGGCACAGGTGCAGCCGATGACAGGCTGCTCGGCCCACTGGCCGTCCTCCCGGCAGTACAGGCTGGGGCTGGGGCCGGGCGCAGGGACCGCGTCGGCCACGCAGCTGCCCGCTACAGGCACCACGAGCTCGCGGGGCACGGTCTCTGGGAAGTGGGTCAGGTTCACGGTCAGCTGGGGGCACTTCTTGTAGAACAGGTGCAGGGACAGCAGGGCCATGCAGGCGCCCTGGTCCTGGAAGGCCAGGTAGAAGCCGGCCTTGCTGAGCGGGCCCAGCCGCAGCGTCTTCACATTCGCCTTCCCCGTTGCCTCGGCCCCGGGGCGCTTCCGGGTCAGATGCTCGGCAGCCACCGTGTCCACCTGCGGGGAGAAGACTCACTGTCCCCGCTCCTCAGGCCCAGGGGCTGTCATCCCCCGGCACCTCCCTTCCCTAACCTCTCTGTTCTAGAACCTTCTTCCACCCACCCCAATGTGCACTTTCCCACAGGCCCTGAAGCGGCCCACCAGTCTTCTTGCTCCTAGATGTGTACAGCTGCTGTCCTGGACCCTTTCTCAGCCACTCACGTGTTCTACATTTATCGTCACCTACACTGTGCCAGGTCCCAATCTCAGAGCCAAGGAGAGACAGAAACGAATGAATTGAGCCAGGTGTGGTGGCACACGCCTACAATCTCAAAACTTTGGGAGGCTGAGTCAGGAGGACTGCAAGTTTAAGCCTACCCAGGCAACTTAGCAAGAACCTGTCTCAAAATAAAGGAAGGACTAGATATGTAGTTCTGTATGAAGGCCCTGGGTTCAGTCCCCAGAACTACAAAGAAGAAAAAGGAGGAAGAGGGGAAATGAAGGAATTACAGAGAAGTGACAGGCATGTGGACTGACTGGCAGGACCAGGGCAGGGAGAATCAGTCGGCTAAGGCAGCACAGGGGACCCCGGGAGCTGACAAAGGAAAGACAAGTAGGGACTCAGCGGAAGCATCAGAGAAGCAGCCAGAGGGAATCATCAGCTGCGGCACTGGCTGGGGCTGCAGAGGACCTGGTGCAGTCAGAAAGGATAAAGTGAGCAGGGTGTTGGGGCTGTAACCCCAGCACTCTGGAAGGGCTGAGGCAGGAGGATCTCAAGTCCAGCTCTGACATGGGGAACTTAGCAATTTAGCAAGATGCTGTCTCAAAAATCAAAATCCAAGCCAATCATTAAATAAAAACGGCTGGGGATGTAGCTCAGTGCTAAAGCCCCGGATTCATTCATCAGTACCACAAAAAAAAAAAAAAAAAAAAAGGAGAGAAGCACAGCATGGCTGGGCCAGTGACAGAGGTGGCCCACACAGGCAGACCACCTGTACGGTGCAGCTCCCCAGCCCAGACCACTGCCTTCTCACCCCATGCCCCTGCCGAATGCGCTCCCTCTGAGTTGCCCCACCCTGCCGCCACCCTGAGCCCCGCCACCTTGATGTACGGGTTCTCCATCCAGGCCGGTGTGAGCGCCGTGGCCGTGTCGGCGTCGCTCTCGTAGTAGAAGACGGTGAAGGTCTCCTTGCAGGAGCGGCCGGCGCGGGGCAGGGACAGGCACTCGAGCATGGTGAAGCGCAGCGTGGCGTAGACGTGCACGGCGCCGCGGCGTGGGACCCAGCCCGTGCGCAGCCAGTGCGCCACGCCGGGGGAGCGCTGCAGATCGCACACCTCGTAGGTGCGCACGCTGTGCTGCTCCTCGTCCAGGCCGCTCACCTCTTCCCACTGCAGGGAGAAAGGAAGGGGTCACTGGAGCCTCCGTGGAGGGGCGGGGGAGGCACCCTCTACTCCCTCCTCCCTCAGGGTCCCTCCCAGGCCCAGCTCTCACCTGACCATCGGCCTGCGGGAACGTCACCCACTTGAGGTCGGCAGTTTCCAATTTTGTGTTTAGCAGGGTCTCTAAGGCAGGGAGAAAGATAAGTCAGTGCCGGGAGGAGAAGGGTAGAGAGATCAGGAAGGGCCTGGGAATTGCTGCCAGTGATCCTCTTAGCTCCAAACTGGAGAGACAGACGAAGAGGCAAGCTCCGCCCTCTGCATCCTCCCCGGATTCATCCATTGACTGACTGATGGCAGTGCCAGGGATTGAATCCTGGGCCTTCCCATTGAGCTACATGCCCAGCCCTTCTCTTTTCACTCTGAGACCACTAAGTCACTAAGTTGCCCAGGCTGGGCTCTCAAATTTGGGATCCTTCTGCCTCAGCCTCCTAGACTGCTGGGATTACAGACACACACTTAGCTTCACAGTTCTAGCTCTGAGTGCCAGCCCCACCCTGACAGCTGATGCCCCTCCCAGCAGCCCCTGAGAAGCCCCAGGCCTAAGGCCTCCCCAAAAGGCTGTGCCCTGGAGGAGGGACTGGAAGTACAGAAGCGGGAGGGGAGACCCTCTTAAAGAAGAGCCTTGCCCCAGCCCTGCCTGGCCCTGACTGCGCAGGGGCAGAGGGTTGCTGTCCGACCCGGCTCTCTGCAGGCCATCTGGGTCCCCACATCTCCTTCTCTAAAGACTCAGGGCTGGCTTCCCCACCCTCACCTCCACTCCTCTTCCAAGTCTCTACCCCTTTTCACCCCAAAGCCTCCCCCAGCTCGGAGCTCCCCTCCTGCTCGGTGGAGCCGGCCCCAGGCTTAGCCCCTCCACCACTTGCTGCCCTGTGGAGGAGGAAGTGCTGGAGGCCAGGACCCCTGGGTTCCCCCAGGCTCCTTCGAAGGCCTCACATCTGGATTTGGTTACAGGAAGGAAAGGGGGAGGTGACTTTAGGGGTGTGCGTGTGTGGGGGGTGAACACACCTGGCTGGGCCGCGGCGTCTCGGGGAGGGGACAGGGTTGTGGCGGAAAAGGGGATTAGAAGAAACTACAGCCCCTGGCAGTGGAAGGCGGGGAGAGGGAATCCCCTCTGAGGCCCGTGTGCGGTGGGGGACAGGAGGCCGGGGACCTGGGTGGAGCTGAGAGCAGCCCAGCGGGAGCCAGCTGTGCACCTGAGGGCCAGGGAAAAGGGACGGGCAGCCTCTTGGAAAGCAGGTGATGTCTGTGAGGTGGGGGCCAGGTGGGAACCCGGCCAGCCGGAGGCCAGCCCCAGGGCCCCCATGGGTGGCAGGAGACAGCCCAGCACGCTGGGGACAGGATGCCCGGGTTCTGGGAAGGGGGTGGATAGAGGCTGCCGTCTCCACCCTCCATTGTTCCAGCCTGGGTAGTGTTTTCCTGTCTCCAATTTACACACTGTCTCTGCTGCAGGGCTGTCCGCGGCTCTGGGCTCAGCCTCACTTTCTCTCCGGTCCCAGACTCGCCTGCTCCCTCAGCCAACTGGTCCCCTCTCTCACTTCCCCCGGAGAGCCTGATGTCCACATCCTTTGCTCTTTCTCACTGCCACGGTGTCTCCCACCTCACACCTTCCCTGGTGTACACGGCCTGGTAAATTACTCCACGTCTCTAAGCCTCAGTTTCCTCATCTATAAAATAGGAGCAATAAGACCTCCCTCGCCCAGCGTTGCTAGAGGTAACTGTAAGGTGGGGAGCAAAGGCGCTCTGCACAGGTATCAGGCGCAGAACAAACATTTGCTCTTTACACTTTTCTTTTCCTCTCATCACCCTCCTCTGGGTGTTTTTTCTGCTCCATTTGGCTTCCTCTTTCCCAGCCCACGTTTCTTGCATCTCTGAGCCAGGCAGATCTCCCCGACCAGCCCAGAGCAGCGCTGCCCCGCCTGGGGGAGAACAGTTTTCCAAGGGCTTCGCCTCCATTCCCCCCAAGGCCCACCCCCCAGAGACCCCTTTGAGTCCGAGCAGTGAAAGGGGGGCAGGCAGCTCAATGAAAGGAGATTAGGGACAGGAGAGCAGGGCTTCCAGGGCTCTGGGCTGCCCCTCTCAGGGGTGAGGAGGAGAGGCCACGGATCTTGAAAAAACATTTGGAGGGGAATACAGAAAAGACAGAAACTTGGGGAGGCCAGAAGGAGGCAGCAGGGCTGAGTGAGGGCGACATGGGCCCTGCAGGGCAGTTTCTGGTGGTGTGCAGGGTTGGGGGACAGCCAAGGAGCCTGGCAAGGCTGGGGTCTAGGTGGCATTTAAAGGGACAGGGAGCAGCCCGGGGAAACCGCAGCAAGCCGCGCCAGGGTCTGTGCGTGACTGCTGAAGCCGGCCATAGCCACCCGGATGCGGAGTTCTAGGACCCAGGTGTGGACACTAAAGGGTGGACGGTGGGATCGTTTTATGGCCTACCATGAAGTTGTGCTTGGTCCCTGCTGTTTGAAATGTTCCAGAAATGTGCCTTCGTGCTTAGCCAGAGGTGGGGAAGCGGACAGAAACTTTGGGATAGTTTGGAAGATTGAGGTGGGGAAGACAGGAAAGGCTGCCAAAGTCGTCCGGCATCAGGAGTTAGAGTCCGGGGAGCCGAGGCAGGGGAACGTCCCGGGTCAGAGCCCGACTCCATCTCTTTCCCAAACAAAAGAAAACTCCACTCCCCGCCCGGCTGCCTCCTCCCCGCCCTCTCCCGTTCCAGCCCGAAGTGTTTGGGGTCGGGGTGCTGGGGAAGGCATAAAGAGAGCTCGGGCCCCTCCACCCCGAGGCCCAACTTTGGGGGCTCCACGAATGGCGGGGTGCCCACAGGAAACTCACCTTCTAAAGCAGCGGCGAGCGAAGCCCAGCAGAGGAGCACCCGGAGCTCCATGGCGCCGTCTTCCTGCGATTGGATACGATCCGAGTTTGGGGGGCCCTAGCCCCCCCAGGTCTGGCTCCCCCCTGGGGCGGGTGGGCGCCGACTCCCCGCGCGAGACTCTCGGTCGAGGCCCTCAGCGCTGGCCCATGCGAAGGCGCGGGCACCCGGCGGCGGCGCCCAGGTGTGGCCCCGCGTCCTCCCTGCGCGCGCGGGAGGCCGGCCTGGGGGGCGTCCGGGCAGCGGCCGAGCGCGGCGGGCGAGGAGCGAGACGTGGCTGGAGTCGGGGTCCCTCCGAGGCCTCGGGGACCCGCCCCCACTGGCTGGGAGTGGGCCGATCGCTCGCGATCTCCCCCCCTCCCTGGAAAGGCGCCGCTCGCGCCACCGGCGGAGTGCGCTACGAGCAGGCGGGGAGGGTGGGAGCCGGAGCTGGGACGCAGCGGGAGGGAGGGAGGGAGACTGCGGCGCAGGGCCGGGCGGGCCGG